TGTACCCCTAGACACTCCCCTTATGCTGCCCAATAAGTTTCCAGCCTTGTGGCTTCTCTGGGTCCTTCTCCCACCATCCCCTGTGAAGAATGGATGAAGGACCCGAGTTAATGGAGTTAATGTATTTGTCATGTTAAACAACAATAAAAGACTCTTTGCTTTTGCATCGGACTGGATCTCTTGGTGGTTTGGGGGCTCAGAATTTGGGCACAACACTGAAACTAAACTTGTAATTCAACCCAGTGGTGCTGCTACATGTGAGTGAAAATGCATATCAGATTTCAAAGATCTTGTATCATATATGTATGTGTCTCTTGTCTCTTTTCAAATATTTATTGCATATGAAATTTACAATGTTTTGGTATATTGGGATAAGTAAAACATATCTAGATAATTCTACATGTTCCCTTTAATTTTTTTATTTGCTTTATTTATTTATTTATTTATTTATTTATTTTGAGACAGTATCTCATTCTGGAGCTCAGGCTGGCCTTGAACTCGTTTGTGGCAATTCTCCTGACAGCCTCCAGAATGCCAGGATTATGGACATTCATGTCCAATGTCAATAAACATTTTAAGTTATATTTAAAAATTAGAGATCACATCTATAATAACTTCTTGGGGGTACATTGTGTGCTTCTTGTTTTTGAGACAAGCATCTTACAGTATCAAATGGTGGGGAACTCATAATCCTTCTCTCTCCATTTCTTGAGTGCTGATACAACTGATGCTCATTTCCATACCCCATCAGGAGCTGTACTAATTTCTCTTGGAGTCTAATGGATCCATTTGTGTAGCACCTGGAATGTGCATACTTTGGGTGGAAATTCTGGTTCTAAATAGGTGTATAGCTCTTTGATGAGCTACCAGTACCCTGGTGAAGTCCCTTAAAAAGTCCCTGTACCAGGCACTGAAAGTCAAATTTGAGAAGACTCAGTCCCTTTCCTGGGGTCCAGTGCCTTTCCAACCTCAGGACAGCATTACTGAGAGGTCTTATTAACCAGATTCCAGCTCTTCCTTGCCATCCAAACTCTAACTCAGCAGATTTTGGACTGAATCAGAGAAGCATCTCAAAAACTACACTTTAAAGGAGGCTGTTATAAACTGGAAAATTGGAAAGGTGTCTCAAGCATTACTTGAGAGTGAGGAGAGAAAAGAGTTAATGGATATTGAATTTTTTTTTTTTTTTGAACTAGCTCTCGTAGACCAGGATGGTCTTGAACTTACAGAGATCTGCTGGGACTAAAGGTGTGTGCCACCACTGCCCAGGATGAATATTGAACTTTATTCCTTGCTAAGCACTTTTAAATATGTCACCTCATTTCATCCTCATGTCAACTTAATGAAGCTCATATTATTATTTCAATGGAGGCGACTGAGACTGAGCAAGGTTAGTTAAATCACCAGAAACATAGAGCTAGCAAATGACGATCCTCAGATTTGTATTGACTCTCCCTGACCCAAGTAGCTCATATAGATCTCCAGTATCTTTGCTTTTTTTCAGGTACTGTCCTTTGAACATGGTATATGACATTAAGTGAGACAGACAAGCTCTCTGTTCTGGTTAAACTCAATAAGTAATTAGAACATAGTTCTCAATTCGATGAGGGAGACAAAGCCATTTAGATCTGTAATGGAGAGTCATAATCTAGATGAGGGATACTAAAAGCTTTCTAAAAGAAAATGTGAAATTCCCATGAAGCCTGAAGGATGTACTAGAGGAGCATGGGTGAGAAATCTTTGAAAATGAAAAGAAACAATGAAGTCTTAGAGACATCTAAGCAAGTGAGGAACTGAAATTTAGACTGTCTCAAGCAGAGAGGGTGGAAGTGATAGGAAAGGCCCCTGAAGTAGACAGGAACTAGCTTATGCCAGGCTATTTATGCTTATTGACTTTATTCAAGCCTAGAGGAATGGTCAGACTATTCCAAGAATCCTAAGTGAGTGCCTGGAACCATAAATAGTACCAAATCCTACAGATATTCTTTTTTTCCCTGTACATACATGTATTTAACAATGTTTCAGATATAAATTAGGCACAAGAAAATAAAACACCAATACGTATAAACTAGAACAGTTAAGCATCCACTAACTTTAATTCTTGGGATAAGAAGTCTTTCAGATTTGGGATTTTTCTTTTTAGGATTTTGACACATTTACATGTTTAATGATATCTTGGGCTGAGATCCAACTCTAAACTCAACATTCATTATGTTTCATATAAGCCTTATATGCAAGCCTTAAGGTAACTTCAAAGATTAAGGTAATCATATTTCAGTGTACCTGCATTTTGACTGTGATCTGCTAAAGGAAGCCAGGGATGAAACGTTCTACTTGTGTTATGTTTTAGATTAGGGATATTTCCAGTTCTGGATTTTCAGATTAAGGGTTCTTAGTTTGTATTCTGTGCACTGTATCACAAGTATTGTGATTGTGTCCCTGCTTTCAAAAAACCATGCTCTCACAGTGTTTCTTGTGATGAATTGAGGTAATACAATGCCTCTATGATAAGGTGAAGTGAGGAGAAATGACTTGGGCTTCGTGATGAGGTGGTAGACCACCATGTGATGATACTACAACATAAGCCTTGCAATATTGTGGGAACTAATCTGATGACTGAATGGGCTAAGTCATGATTTCATCCCACTACTCAGAATGGTGCACCTTTCAAAATGTGTTTATTGCCTGGCATTGGTGATGCACACCTTTAGTCTCACCACTCGGGAGGCAGAGGCAGGCAGGTAGGTCTCTGTGAGTTCAAGACCAGCCTGGACTACAAGAGCTAGTTCCAGAACAGCTTCCAGAGCCACAGAGAAACTCTTGTCTCAAAAAAAACCAAACCAAACGAAACAAAACGTGTTTATTTCTGGAATCTTCTATCTAATGTTTTTGAATTATAATTGATTATGGATAATTGAAATCATTAGAAACCAAAACCTCAGCTAAAAGTAGACTATTGAATTATTTTCCTTCTTTATTTACTTATTTGTAAATTATTTATCATGAGAAACTATATATATATATATATATTTTTTTTTTTTTTTTTGGTTTTTCGAGACAGAGTTTCTCTCTGTATTGTTTTGTAGCCTGTCCTAGAAGTGGCTCTATAGACCAGACTGGTCTTGAACTCACAGAGATTTATCTGCCTCTGCCTCCTGAGTGCTGGAACTAAAGGTGTGTGCCACAAATACCCTGCTGAGAAACTATTTTTTTTTTTTTTTGAGACAGGGTTTCTCTGTGTTATTTTGGAGCCTGTCCTGGGTCCTGGAATTTGCTCTGTAGACCAGGCTAGCCTCGAACTCAAAGATCGGCCTGCTGCTGCCTCCTGAGTGCTGGGGATTAAAGGCCTGTACCACCAACACCGGGCTCTGAGAAACTATTCTTGATCACACATTTATATTTGTTTGTTTTAAGACACAGTCTCTCTCTCTATAGCCCTCACTCTCCTGGAACTCTCTTTGTAGACCAAGGCTGGCCTTGAACTAACAGAGATCCTTCTGCTTCTGCCTCCCTAGTGCTGGAATTAAAGGCATGTGCCACTATGTCTTGCTACACATCTTTGTTTAATAGCTGAAGAACACAGATCAGTAGCAAACTTCTATGGAACTCAACCCAAAGCAATTCCTCACATTTCAAAATCACATTGAACTCTGAAATACACCATCCTTTATCTCCCCAGAATCTTGCATAAATCATAGTTTCTCTTGAAATCTCTATGCCTTCTTTCTTGGTTTAACCAGAAAACTTACTGGCGGCACCAACACCTTCTTACAGATGATGGGAGCTGAAAAAGTTACTGTGCCTTCAGCAACCATTGGTTTAAAAGAGAGCGGTAGGCAGGGAGGTGTGTTAAATATGCTACTGGTGTTAAGTTCAGGTAATGCTGCGGTGAATGAGAAGTGGAGTTGGAGAGATGTTTAGAGAGTTTAAGGCTATTTTCTTGATAAGAAAGGAAGGAGTGGACAGGCAAAGAGGAACCAAAGATGGCCTCCAGAATAATGGTTGTTAGCTTAGTAGTTAAGAAATTCAGGTTAAGAATAATGCTCTCCTAGTAAAATTTCAATGACGGGAACTTATTTGACCGGAAAACTTTGGGAGAATATTACTCTTTGGAACTTTAACTTTTTTTTTTCTTCTGGGTTCTAATTTGTATAAATTTTTCAGTCTGTTGAGAGGGAATACTGAAAATAAAGCCTTTTTGGTCACAATCAAGGTTAATCTACTAGTTTACTGAGCTTCTTCTTATTAAATAAACTTGAATCTTGAGTTTCTGAAGCTCAATATGTCTTTTTTGCTCCTTCTATTTTTCCCATATCTTAAACCTTAGAAAGAGTTGTTGATGGCTCTATCAATGGACCAGTGATGATTTGGACCCCGCCTTCTTCGCCTAAGTCCCGCCCACATTAAACCACACCCCTTTATATTGGCCCCGCCTGCTGAAGATGTCGTCTCCGATATGACAGCAATTCTCCACAATCCTGTCCAATAGGACATGTGAAAGGCGGGACCTATGTCAATCTTTTTTTCCCATTTGTCCAGTTATATGTCTATCTGTATTCAGTTCCATCCCACTTGGTCTTCAACCCAAGGATTGGTTTCTCTGTTCTTTGTTCCTGGCTCATGATTGGTTTTTTTTCATTCCTCCCCTCTCTTCTATATCTTGCAGGCGGGATTAGCACACAGCTTCCTGCTCTTGCCAAAAAAATAAAAGAAGAAAAAGAAAAGAGGAGAGAGGCGAAAGAAAAAAAAAAAAAAGTCGCGGAGATCTTTGGTTTTTAGTTGGCTTTTAGCCTTGTCGATCAGGCCAAAATTTGCCTTCTGATTGGTCTGCCTGTCTGCCCATCCCGAATCGGGGGCGGGATTTCCCCAGGAGACCCACACCTGGTTGCCACTGGTCGAACAGTGCGCCTGTCTGAAGCTTCCGGCCAGGGATTGGAGGCGGACGCGGACAGGTGGGCGTGGATTGGCTAGGGCAACCGGTCAATGTGAGGTGGGGGCGGGGCCTCGGCGGCTGGTTGCGCGTGTCCGCCGCTGGCTCCGCTCTATCCGGCTTTGCTAGGGGAGGTGAGTCCGGCCGCGGCGGTACCGGCGGCTGAGAAGGCGGCGGCTGAAGAGAAAGCGGCCACGGCGGCTGTGGAGAAAGCGACCGTGGGCACGGAAGCCGGGTGGGGGGGAGGGGGGGAGACGGAGCAGCCTTGAGCCCTGCAGGGGCCGTCGCGCGGGGGACCCACCCGCTCTCCCCCCCAACCCTCCCCAGCACTAGCAGCCGGCGGCGGCGGGGGCAGGAGTCAGCCTGCTTCCGACCGTCCCCCGCCCGCTTCCCGGGGCTCCTATTCTTTGGCCCCGGGACCCTAACCTCCTCCCGGGGCGGTTCCCTGGGTCTGGCCGTCCGAGTGCTGCCCACCGCTCTTTCATTCCCTCCTTGCACCTCCTTCCCTTCACTTTTGCCGGGGTTCTCTCTCTCCTCTTCTGTCCTGCCTGTCGTCTCCTTGCCTCACTCTCTTCCTCCAGCCTCCTTCCCTGGCTCATTCTGCCCAGTAAAGTTTGGTACCCCCCCCCCCCAATCAGGTCAACCAGATTAGGAGTAGGGGGAGATGTAGGAAGGCTTGAGAATTCGAGGGGTGGGGAAAGCTGGAAGCTGGTTTCCCTGACAATTTCCCCTCATCTTTTTGATTTAGAGTGGTTGGAATTTTTTTTTTTTAAATTGTGTTTTTGAGGAGGTGGGAGGTGTTTAGAAAAGGATGTGGGAATGGAAGGGGTAGATGAGTCAACCCTCTTACAAGATTCCAAGGGTGGTGTGTTACCGGATCCTTTTCGTGTGTGGAGTTCAGGGGGTCGGGAGGCTTGGCCTTTATTCCCACATTCAAAGTTGGAACCTCCCCCCCATTAAGAATGGAGTTTTAGTATCCACTTGTGGCAGGAATCCTGGGGGGAAGGGGCCCTTTTTCCTTTTTCTTTTCCTTTTTTTCCCTTTACTTTATGTTATTAACTTTTATTTTGTCAACCCACACCCCTCTACACACTCTTACCCAAAAATCAAACACCGAAGATCCTCTAACTTCTTTGCATTGACTGATGAAGACATAAAGCCAGTTATGCTCTATGTTTTTTGAGGTGGAGTGAGTGGTTTTCTTCATTTTTTTTTTTTAAATGGCCAAATGATAGCTTGACCCAGTTTGCTTTCCAATCAAAGAGCATTTTTTTTTATTTTTGAATGTCTCTTTGTGGCCCAAGAGCCAACGCAAAAATGATGGCGGCTTACAATGGCGGTACATCTGCAGCAGCAGCAGGTCACCACCACCATCATCATCACCACCTTCCACACCTTCCTCCTCCTCACCTTCACCACCACCACCACCCTCAGCACCACCTTCATCCGGGGTCGGCTGCTGCTGTACACCCAGTACAACAGCATACGTCTTCGGCAGCTGCGGCAGCCGCAGCGGCAGCTGCAGCCGCAGCCATGTTAAACCCTGGGCAGCAACAGCCATATTTCCCATCACCTGCACCGGGTCAAGCTCCTGGACCAGCTGCAGCAGCCCCAGCTCAGGTACAGGCTGCTGCAGCTGCTACAGTTAAGGCACACCATCATCAGCACTCTCATCATCCACAACAGCAGCTGGACATTGAGCCGGATAGACCTATTGGATATGGAGCCTTTGGTGTTGTCTGGTGAGTATCAAAAACACAACTCCATATGGTTCTCACTGGGCAGTCCATGGTTCATTGTTTACTTCCTCTTGACCAAAGTAGAGCAAGCTTCTCAACTCAACTTGAGGAACCACCCTGGTTGGTGATGAGGTCTGATGTGTTGGCTCTCTAGGCCATCATGGCAGATGGTAGTAGAGCCCTTTCTCTTGAGTTTGCAGACTATTATTAAACTGGCCTGTTAAGAACCCCAGTGAGCTGCTGAGTAAGATCAGTAGGTGGATGTGTTAAATACTTCTACAAAGACCTTGGCCATCTCAGTGTGTGGTAGTTTTGATTGGCTGCTCAATTACAGCAGGTGTCAACAACTGACCTCCAACTTGATTTATTTAGGATAGTCCCCTGCAGAATATACTTAGTGTAAACAACTTTCTTGCCCACTATACCTTTTCATACCTTATTTGTGATCTTGGCTTTTGGAAGCAAGGTAGGTTTCATTGTTGAACCAGTTAAAAATTATTGCTTGAGTGGTTTATTTTAAACTGTAAAACTAAAGTTGGGAAGTATGAAGCTTAGCTTTCTGATAAGAATGCATTAAATATAGCATCACACACGAGTAGTACAAATGAGGTTAGTAGACTGGAGCTATGCAGTGGCCCACATTTGTTATAATGTGTCACTGACTCTTAGGGTGCTTTTATCTCTTGGCCAGTTGTTTTGGTAGGAAGAGTGCCTTTAACAAATGAAACTGCTATTACTTTTGCTAATGGTCAGAACAGTTTAAAAGTCTAAAGATTTGTTAGATGCAACATCTTTGTGCATTTGCCCTTCTTAGGAAGATTGGTGAAACAGAATAAACTGAGGGTTGGATTATTTTTTCCCCTCCCAAGAATTAAGAATTTCAGTGTAGAGAGATGATTTCATATTTTCAGTGCATGCAACCATAGAGTGTTAGTGTCCAGCAAAGTCCCCGTTACAAAAAAGAACTCTTTGAAACTAGCCTGTAAATAATTCCTTTTTGTCTTTGTTTTTAAGGGTAAAGTTCAAGATAGGTATTTGCATAATAGCTATTTTCATATTTCAGAATTTATAGTTTTGGCACCTAAGTGAGCTGATTATTATTTTTTTTTTTTTTAAATGAAGAAAACAAGAGTCCAGTTTTTCTCAGCTAGCCTGCAAGGAGGTTATTGCTGCATTCTTGCTTCTCCAGGGACTGTGGGATTCCTAGTGGGAAAGAGTATAGGCCATCATGGTTTCTTTTCAGTCACTCTGTTCAGGGACCTGCCTGCTCCTGCTTTCCTCTTTCTCTGCCATAGCACCCTCCCCAGGGACATCACTGTGAACTTCCATTCCTTGCCTAACTCTTGATTTCCAAACTCTGGGGATGGGAGGAGAGCAGGAGAAATTTGGTTCTTTGCTTTAACTCTTGTCATTTTACAAACTTGGAGTATCTGGATTTTTTAGATGTGGTTGTGTCAATGGTGAAAACTGACATTTTTAGTATTTATGGATATAGAGTGCTGTTCACTATCATTTTGTCAAAGGATGATGTGACTTGTAAAAGTTTTAGCTTCAGGTTTGTGACAAGAGTAAAAAAATTACAAGAGAGTGTTCTAGCATCTCATCTGGCAAGTGTTGTGGTAGTTGGTGTTAGGAATCACTCATATCTGAAAATCCACAAGTGTTTGGCAGGAATCCATTGGAGAGATATGTAGACTGTCCCTTGCACCATGAACTTGACACATACCTCTGACACCATCTTCTGTGGTTTTGTGTTTGCCTTCCCTTACTGAATACACTGTAAATTCCTTTGTAAAAACTATATACCAAAGTATTTTTTTTTTTTTTTTTTTTGCAACTTTTAGAGACAAAGTCTCAATACTGGCCTAGAATTCAACTACATACATGCTGGGCCTCAAGTGTGGTGTCATATTGCTGCCTCTGAGTGCTGGCATTGGAGAGGTGCTGGATTATGCTTAGTCTAGAATAGTGGTTCTCAACCTTCCTAATGCTGTGACCCTGAATATAGTACCTCATGTTGTGGTGACCCCCAACCATAAAATTAGCTTTGTTGCTACTTTATATTTGTAATTTGCTACTGCTATAAATCGTAAACATCTGTTTTCCAGTGGTCTTAGGTGACCCTTGTAAAAGGGTCCTTCCACCTGCAAAGGGTCCAGACCCACATGCTGAAAACCACTGGTCTAGAAGTTTTGTTTGTTTTATGTCCTCTAGCACCTAGGACAGTGGTATGGCATCTTGCTGCTTTTTTTTTTTTTTTTTTTTTTTCCATTTACTGACTTCCTTGTTGGTTGAGTGATTGATTGATCTACTGACTTCTTTGTTTTGGTGTAAACAATAGGCATTTATTTCTTTCAGTACTGGAGGCTTGAAATCCAATATCTAGTTGACAGTGGGTTTGGGTCCTTCTGAGCTTCTCTCCTTGGTTTGCTGGTGGCTGCCATCTTGCTGTGTCCTTGAATGTTGGTTTTTGTTTTTTTCCTGATTTTTTTTTTAATCCAAAAATTTTTTTCCTGATCCGTCTTCATTTCACAATCAGGTTTTACTAGTTCTTGCAGGAATGTCTTTATCAGCTGTTTTAGGTGAAATACAATTTAGTTTGAAAAAGGGGAAGAGTACCAGGTGTGTGTTTTTAGTATGCAAATGCTTTTCTATCTTTATATTTACATATTGATGACTTGCTGTCTGAATTGCTTATTTGAAATTTAACTGCTGTGTGACCTAAAATTGCTAAAACTAGAGATTTGATAACCAAACCAGAATAAATTGTCAGTATGTGTTGAAATTCCAGGTATTGGTGAGGTTTTTCACCATTTAACCTACTAGAACAGGATTTTTCTTAATGTAAAAGTTTTTTTTTTTTTTTTGCATTGGAAACAATTATTTCCTAAAATAATTAAAGAGAACATAAGAATATCCTTCTGCTTTTTTTTTTTAAAGAATAGCCTAGTAATACATCATTTTAAGTCAGTATTCTATATGTAATTATTCTGAGTATCATAAGATTCACTTAGATTCAAACAGTCATTTTTCAAATTTTTTCTGGCTTAGCTTATGATGGGGAATTATATCTGTTCCTATTTCTTTTTATGGACATGCACCACTAGCTAATGGCCAAAAAGGTGGATATAATTTTGAGGGATACTAGTCATCAATGCAGCCAAGGAAAATATTCATAGAAATGATGCAGTATTTTGCCATTCAGATTTATTACTGAACAGTTTAGTGTACCTGACTTGATTTATCTTTGATGAACTTTACTAGAGAATAGCATATCAGTTTTGGACAGTTGTATAAAAATACTGAGTTACCCATTAGCTTGCTGGTAAACATGGTGCTTTGACAGTTCAATTAAGGTTTCATTAACAACTGTCTGCCGTGTTTTATCTCAATGAAAGAGTTCCAGTTTACCTGGTAATGTGATCAGGGGTAGCTTGAGATGCATTCATTGCCAATGATAGATGTTGCTCATTGGTTTTTAAAACATCACATATAATTTGACCTGCATTATCAAAGGTCAGGACTTCTGGGTTCCCACAGGGACATTTTCATAACACAGAAACAGAACATAAACGGCAATTTCTGTCATTTTGTGACGATAATATGAATGTTTCCCTTTGTAGTTTCACCTTTGCTAGAGAAAAATACCATGCTTTAAAAATTTCACAACTTTGGGGACAAAGTACTTCAAGGTCTTATGAAGTGTACAGTTTAAAGAATTGGAGTAAGCTGACCACATGAGAGCAGTTTGAGGGCTGCTAAGCCTAGGCAGTTTTGACACTGTCAACATAAAATATAGATGGGATTAATGCTACATGCTTCCCTGATAAAAGTGAGTCCAAGAAAAGCCTATTGTTTATAAAATTAGTGTTTTAGCTTTTGGCTTGTCTGATTAATTAAGAGATCAAAGATCCTTGGATTCATCCAGTCTGTTGTCTTTATACTTCAAATAAAGTTGGGAAGCTTTGAATGTTTTTATTTTAATATCTTTAGCAAGTTACTTTTATCTGCATTTCAAAAGTTCAGCATTACTGCGGTGACACTCAATGACTTATCACTAAACTTTGTGATCTTGATAATTTGTTCTTCTAGTCTCTGATCTGTGAAATGGGGATCATAGTGCTTTTGTCCTATGGATACTACGGTTGAATGAGGTGATCTTTTTAAACCAATATGTCTGGTATACAGTAAGTCCTCTGTGGATGCTGTTGTAGCTATTGCTGGTTTTAAAAAAAAGGACAAAATGCTTTTGTTAATGTGCAGGAAGAGCTTTCTGGTTATCAGATTTACCATATGATGTCAAATTATTTTAGGAGGCGTAACTTTAACTACCATAGAACGTTCCCCTCAGTTGCATTTATGCCAAAGAAATAAAGAAGATTGAATTCAGAGTCAAGGAGAAAATACTCTTGTGCTCTCTCAGTTAAACAACAACAAAACAGAGCTAATAATGGGTATAGTTTAGCAAGCGTTCTAGTCATCATCTGTGCTTGTAGAAAGTATTGTGGATTTATATACTGGGAAGTAATAAGTGAGGGGTGTTAATCACTGTCTTAAGTTGCTTTAGCAGAAATTCACTTGTGTTTAGATGAAAAGTAAATTTCCTGTGAGGTTGGGGAAGTGTGTGTGATTAAATGAAAAATTATTCAGCGTAAACTTTTCATGCATGGCAGAGATTTCTAACTTGTTCGTCTTGTGAGAATTAGAGGTGTGTTTTCTGTGGTCTTCTTACTCTGTAAGTAAGCAATTAGATGTTGGAAAAAAATGGGGAATGCTTTTGGGATAATTGGGAAAAGTCCTGGATTTAGTTACTTTAGAAAGAGTAGTAGACTAAAAGTGTTTTGCTAGTCTGTAGTGTAGAGAAGTTTCTCTTCTATGAGTCAAGATTAACAGGCACTGCTGGGTTCTGGGGCGGGGGGGGGGGTGTGGTGGGGAGATCTGCTTTGTGCAAAGAGCTTTGAAGAAGTAGGGCCTGCACCATAAAAAGGAAATGGTTGCTCTTC